CACTGACTCAGTAGGCATAAAAATTTTGCCAATGGCCAGATCTTATGCAAATGTATTTAAGAATTGCGGCGCAGAAAACCAAGCGATGACTTGAATCTCCATCTGATATGGAATTTTATAAGCAGTAGTCTGCAACAACGCCTAACAAATTATTTATTAGTAGTTGCAGACATTGTGCTGCCATTTGAGCATTCGGATTCTTCCTCCACGACCAGACTAAGTGGACAGACTGACGTGTTCCTTTACACAATGCAGTGGCCCTAGCTCAAACCTGGGTGATAAAGGACACCTACCTCTACCTATAGGTATATTGGATAAAATTAAGATCAAATCTTGCATTGAATATCCATGAAATTCAGCGGCCACAGATTTTGCACAACTATCTCCAAGAGGTCAGTTATAAAATTCATGAAAAATGAGAACCTCTTTTTAAAGTAAGCACACAGTTTGTACTGGGTGCTCGCGTTCACACTCCTAAAATTTTAACTTGAATCCAGCTTAATCCTCGGGAGTGGTAGAAGCACAAGAAAAGCGCGAAGCTGATGCAAATACAAGTTTGAATAAGCAAAAACCAACCTAGCCGAATACAGAGGCTAGCAGCATAAAAAAGCACAAGCTTTAGGTCAGTCTACTACAAATAAGGGGCAAGTATGGCGCCAGCAGAGGAAGGAAAAACCGCTTCAAAAATTTCGAAAAGAAATTCCCAATAAGAATTTCCAAAAAAGACCCAGTATCTTTTAATCTTGATTAATTGTTTACCATTTAAATCTTTATTTGTTATTTGAACCAGATTTAAGAAGCTAGATTTGTTGGGGATACGTTGTTGAAAGATGGAACTAGATGACAGCGAGTAAGTTTTTATTAACTCCATTAAAAAAATCTATAACATTTCAGATATAAAAAAATCCCCGTGAATTACTTGCTTTACGGAACGTTTATAGCTTGGTAGAAATGGTCCCTCCAATTAAAACAATATCTTAGTGTTGTGAAATTTTTTTAAAGTTTGGTAATAAGTAACATGCAATTAGGAACCCAGAACTTAACTTTGGTTTAAATATTGTTATCATTGGAAAATATTTTTGAGACATGAAAAATTCCCAAGAACATGAAAGATAGCTTATCGAATAAGGGTAAATAAACCATTATGGCTGTACTGTAAGTATTCTAAAACCTAAACATTAGTGATTATGATTGCAAAATTAGTGCTCGAATTATTGATTACATAAATGTCTATGAAACGCAATTAGGGAAACCTTATATCAATCTAGCGTCAAGGGAGGACTAATGAAAGCTTGAAGAATTGTTAAAGAAGCAATACATAAATATCAAAAATCTGATTAGATATTTATTTAACATGCATACGTTAACGTGGAATTATCAAAGCCTTTGTTTTAGAACATGCGGATTGACCATTACATCTGCTTTAATAAATATATATGTCTTCCTTACGTTAAGTGAAAAACATTAAATACTGTGGGTGCAGTTAAACTGAACAATTTCCAAGAATGTTTAAAATAAATTGCGAGTATTTCGAAAGTAATGGTTACAATTCAAAAAAACATTTGCAGAATAAAGCAGATTTGTCGTTATTTTTATTCGCCTACAGGATTGGAAAAATTCCCTAAACTTGTGGAAAAAATGGTTTCTCAACTTTTTGATACTTTTATTGAATAATTGGTTTTGCGCTCGATCCAAATAGGTTTATCTGATTTCGCGCTAAGTGATTGTATTTACACCCAAAGGATCATTCGGCAACTATGTCCGCATGGATAATGAATTGTTTTGGGGTTGGCTAAATTGCACTAAACGCTCGAGTGGTTGCATGAACGAATCGTACGCTGAAAACTTCGGGAAATTTTGCACATTCAATATTTGCAATTACATTTTTAGTTTTTGCAATAAACTAAAAGCTCCTGATTATGTTCCATTTATGGCATTTATTTTGTACGATCGGTTTTTATTTTCTGAGCTTCGGTCGATCTTCAAATCTGGCTACGACGTTGATGCATCACAAGTTAAACGTGCGGTCGTCCAAAAGAAGAAGGATATTTTTCTTCATTTATACTCAGTTATTCAGATTACCACAAAAAATATTGACAGACGAAAGATTCTGAAGGCATCTGCATTAGAAAAGATATTGAAGAAGCTGTCTTTTGATGCAGATATCAAAAATATTATTAATTCTGAAGTGTACGTTTTGCGCTCGTTACAAGATGATCTATGCTGTTTCAATTTCCTTACACCTGCAGAATTTCTTTTTTGGCTGCATAAATTTACATCGCAACAAGCTAATTTTGGAACCCTTCTTGACGTTTTGTACGTTATATCTGCCAACTTGTCAAAACTAGGTGATGATATTCGAAATATTTTCCGAAAAAATATCCAACCTTACGTGTATCTTCGTATACTTTCTGCGTCTGCTGTTGTGTGCGCCTCACTGAGTGAATTAAAACCAGTACTTCAACTCACACGAATGTGCTCCTCGTTACTACCGTGCACGGTCGACGAACTTTTAGCTGTTGTTCATTGTATTCTTCATTGTTTCTGACTACTATACCAAAACCTGATTTGTCCAGATTTTATGGTTTATAAGGATACTGTTATGTGGTTCTGAATGCAAATACTTAGGGGCAACTGATTTTTTTCTGGCATATTCTTGTCATCTGTTTTCTTTAATCTTGAATTCTTCATTATGAATTTGCATTTAAATAAGGATGGCCGAAACACAGAGGTAATTTTAATAAGCTTTCCCAGATTTAAACTAAATGTTCGAGTTCAGCTAGACTCGTAGTTTGTGACTCAGTAATTAACATATTACGTAGATCAATAATCAACTGATCTATTGTAGTAGTTGCCAGACGTTTTGAATGTTTAAAATGGTGCTTCTTAAGGGGTATCCACCCAAGTGTTATTGTTGAGATATTGTTTCCGCTTCAGAAGACTTTGCAATATGAATAACAGAATCAGCAATTATTTACTAGAGTTGTGGTCTGTTTATTTATAGGTTATAAGCTAGAGAACAAAGTGAAAAACCGCATTCTTAAAGAAAAGATTAAACCTGTCTGAAACTATGTGTTAACATTGCGATGAGAATGTTTTTCAACAAAGCAGGCCTATTTGAATACTATTTGCTGTTTTATTTATCAATGACTAACGCGTAGATCAGAGGAATCGCCCTTCTGCTAGCGGTTAGTGTTTTTTTTTGCAGCCTAATATGTGTTTGTTTGTTTTAAAGATTTATTTACATTAGACTTAATGATTAGGTTTATCCTCATTTTCTAAAGTCTAGTTTTGTTGTTGGTGCTAAACCAACTATGGTTGTGATAGACGTGGTTCTCTTATATACTTAAGGTATTTGAAACTCTTCTAGCTATATATATGCACAGTAACTAGATGCATTTAATGGGGATTCCGTACCTCAAATTATTAAATAGTGTCCAAGAGTGTGTCCTTGATATATCACTTCAGAGTTCTTTACCTGCAAGTATATCAAAATGTTGACCTGTTTTAATCTCACGATCCATCACTCAATGCTTTTGATACCTCTGCTAGGAAGAACATAGTAATCGATGTTCAAAATCCAGCAAATAGTCGTCATCTTGAGGTAGAGTACGTTTGCAAGTAAAGGTTTTATGGTCTGTGACGCAGTCATGCTGTCATCATAGTCACCTGACAAATGACTGCAAATTTCCACATTTCACACTCTGGTTGCAGAAAGCCCACTACGTTACTTTTATCACGTTTTAATGTTCATATCAATGAAGTTGTATTTTCTCTGAGAGTTAACGTTGCTTTGGGATATCCTGTACTCTTGGCTCTGTGTGGCAGGATCCGAATCCTTGATGCTTGTAACATGGCTACAACATCTGCTCATGTCTGTAGGCCTTTAGGCCTTATCGACCCCTGCGCTCGCTACACAATTAAAATCCTTAAGTGTCTCACGTCCCTCCACAATTATTGCATAAATAAAAATTGCTATGCCATATAAATGAACCTTAACTTACAGGTATGAGACAGCTGCTTTAAATAGTAGGCTTTTGTGTGTTAGAGAGGCTGTGGGTGCTTATCTGTATTTTCAAAGATTAGCTACAGTTACTAATAATTGGGACGCTGAAAGATATCAAATCCTATTTTTGAAGAAATATGCTGCTTTGGCTACTTCGTGACTAATTTTAGGTCCCGAAAATGCACCATTATAAGGATAAAATTACTTGTCTTCCGCTACTCTTTATGCTCAAAATGTAGTCAAGGTACCTACATTGTTTAAAGTGTCTTAATCTAGACTAATGCTGTCTTACTACTGGTATTAGTACACTGGCCCATACTGGTACTTGTATTAGCAGAAACATCCCAGTTTAGGAAGCCCCAAGTGGGTTTAATGAAATTTCTTGTCAGCGCGTTAGCAAAATTAATCTTAAATTTTTTTAAATTAATAATTTGGTCCAAAATTCAAGTTTATAAATGAAGCTGCCATAAGCTCAAAACTAAACACTACCAGTAAATTCTACAAATTAAAGGACGTTTAGGATAAAGTGTTCCCAACATGACACAAGGTCCCCGCGTAAATGTAGATGTGGATGGTTCAATTATTAAATTTTTACTGGAGTGAGAAGTTCAACTGATCTATTTGTTACTAAGTAGGACCACTAAATGCACTATAATAGTCAATCTGAACTGGGGGTTTTATCGCAATAAATGCAGTGGAGGCCAGTTGGTTCATAAAAGGAAAATAAAGTGCTCACAGGCATTTATGCACTGTTTAAACAAAATTGTACACGTTTCGCGCTAAAATCAAGCACTCGGTGTAGAAACCTATGATTCGGAACTAAAGACAGGCACATGTCCATCACTGAACGCTTTTAAGTGGGGCACATAAACCAAATATCGGTTAAAATATCAGTAGGTGATTATAGCATTAACATCATAATTGGAGGGCACTTTCAATGGCGTAATTTCATGCTCCCTTTTTGTAGTAGGAAATGCCGTTCGACGAGGCTATTTTAACCAACACTGTCAGTCTCATCGTTTTCACCTGAAGTCGCATCGGTTGATTCAGTAGTCACACTTATTGGTAGCGTCCATTCCCCTTCGTCGCACTTATCTTCTGGCGAATTGTTACCTACTCCCAAGTCCTCTTTTGTGGAATGCCTAGTAGGGGTTTGTGAAAAAGTTACAGTGTTGATTAAATGCGTTTCTTCATAAGGCATTGTCGCTCCATTATGTGCAGATTGAGAGACGAGTACGGGGGCTGGCTGCATTTGTGCAAGAGGGTCCAGAGGAGTAGACTGAAATATTGGCCACGGCGCGGGAAGCCTACAGGCGTCGACCCACTGCCTTAAATCTGCTCTCCAGCTCTCATTTCTAACTATTGACAACCCGTTGACACTGTCCATTGAACTACCGGCCATAATCGCCCTAGTGTTCTGATAAATTAATGTAGCTCCGCAGTCGTGTTGTGTTGCCTGCGATAAAATGTCGGTCAATTCAGTTGGGTGGTAGTTTATGAAGGCCGTCGTCGGATTAGTGGTAATCTGCTGAACTTGAACATTTGAGAATGGTGTCAATTCCTCGGATAACTTCAGTCCGGATAAATCAGATCCTATCGTCTTCGTTTTAGCTAAAGAGACTTCAGATTCTGTTGAGGGACTGAATTGTTGTTCTGATGACAGCATGTTTACCCCTGAATTCGCTGCTGTTGATTTTGCTTCTTTAGGGAGCATCCCGGGAGTCATATGGCTCAGGCAATAGGGCTCCATGTACCCATAGTTCAGTAGTGATTTCCCTAATGGAGGTTGCAGCATACCGAACGACTCCAACTGGAACTGATGAATTGGAGTCGATAACAAATGCTGATCCGATGATTGTGACCATACTTGAGAAGCTGCTAATGACAAAATGTGTGATGACATCTCTCCACTGGAGAAATGTAGTTGAAGGTGATTAGCAGTGAATTTACAAGAATCACCAATCAGTGATGCCTCCGGGTACCTGAGAAAAGGACCACGTAAGGGAGATGGAATTTCTGGATTCAAACACGGGGTAACGAGGTCAGGGTCTCTGCTTGTACTTGTAGTTTCAGTGTAGGTATAAGATTGAGCCTCGAGATCTGGAGCAAAAAAGTCTGGCAAAACCCTGAAGTCGTCGTGCGGTGGATGTTGTGGGTCCCCCGCAATGCTGTTTAAGGGTGGCATTGTGCTGGCGACTGTGGCTGGCGCCAAGTGGTAACGGCCTGGTGTGAGTAATGGAGGATAACACCAGGGGTTTATAGATGTTTTTTGCATAGGTCGGGTTTTCATTGAGTAGAAATCACACGATGATGCCATAGCCTCACTGGTAGTTACTTTTGGCTGTGAAAAGTCTATTGGTTCAACACTCAATTCAGCAGTGTCGAGGAGTAGATCGTGACGGAATGGGAGCTTGAATGCAATAATCCAAGCAAGTTTGCCTAAAATGATTTAGAAAACTTAATTAGGTTGGACGCGATGTGGCAATGTAATAAGATAATTAAAAACATGTTAATTGAATTACTTTCATTGCTCAAAATAAACTTCAATTTGCCTCGACTCTCACCATCTAACTTCACCTTTCCCGTTTCAAATTTAACTTAGATCAAAACTTTGGTTCGATCAAACTTTAGAAGATATCTAGCAGTGAACCTTCAAATAATTACCACTTTTTTTTAAATTCACCGTACAGCAGTGAAGATAATCGCTAACATAGGGCTGAATACATTTCTATTCAACCACAAGTACATCAAGTGGTGTTGCACTGGAATGCACTTCGACTTGTTTACAGGCTAAACAAAGGTTCCACAGCTCTCACTGTAGCATAAATTTTCCTTTTGCAAGAACTTGTTTCAGGCGATTTCTAGAAGAACATATACCTACTAAAGCTTTCGCAACTAAGTCTCTCTCCGAAAACTACCTCGATTGTCGTGCATAATGGTGGCTACAAGGTAAGTGTGGACAAGAAATCCAATTCGCTTCATTACCCAAATAGTTCTGGGAGAGCAGAAGTGTGGATTTTGCTCCTTTGCCTCTCACCGCCACCATAAAGTTGATTGCCTTGACCAACGCCAGCAGTGACGGATATCCATATGTCTCAGGACGAAGTTCGACACCATACTGTCGATTGTACTCGCTTCCTAAGAGACTTAGCATTAAGCGACCCTTAGTGCGAAGTAAAAGGTGTCTCAATTGTTTGGCAAACGACATAAGTGGGCAGAGATGAATAGTTTGGGTGGTTGAAAGGTCTTTGCCAGTCAAGTCTTCTCCAACGTTCGGCTTGCAATATGTTTGAATATTGCAATCCCTTACCTAAAGACGCACCAAAACATGTTAAAGTTTAAGAATTTGGAGTTGTCTTTCTTATGACGCAAGGCTGCGAGGCTTAGTTGCGGGTTCCAAACGCATCCACATCAAGCTAATCAAAAATGCATGCCCCACCTTCGCAAAATAAAAAAATTAACTCTACGTTACCATGCGCATATGTCACCTGTACTTAATTGGGAACCGACATCAGTGTACCTGGCAGAATTACATATGAGTGCTTCTCTAGAGGACACTGGCCTAAAAGGTGTTAATAGCATTGACAAAATAGCACAAATTAGTACAAACTGAGCAAAGGATTAAACTAGTTGCCTGAGTGATAACTTTTACGTGATATCTCGAGGGGAAAATCTTTTCACAGAAGACATCGTGAAATATTTTTTTGAGCCAAGTGTTAATAGGTCAAGTAAATGTCTTTATGATTGCAACTCCGTGATCGTTAATAGATAACGGAAAGCCAGACCTCAAACAATCTCCAACATTGGTAAAAGGATAAGCCTAACTATAGTCATTGGTCACTTCCGCAAATCAGTAGATCTTCTGTGGAAGCGCAAGGACTTCTAAATTATCAGAATGTTGCAGAACAGACAACAATTCGGAAAATTCACCAAAATATAAGGGTTCATTTCATTCTTAATCATGTCAATATCAAAATCCTCGTGGAATGTAGCCTGAAAATGTTCTTGAAACGCGGCAGTTGTAACCGATCCACAAGGCGAGTTAAAGAGTATTTGAAGACATCGGTAAATCTTTCGTCTGACGTTATGTCTATCTTCGAGGCAGACATAAGTCATAGTGCCGGGCGTGTCTTCAGTTTTGACGTCCCATTTGGGCGGCTGCTGATCTTTTGGACCATCACCTGTCATGCTAAATGCCAGCTGCTGAACGAATGAAACGGTTCTGCTATCTTGTGAAATTTGTGCTAGACGTAATCCTTGTTGATGGAGGAGGCAGACCCCTGGGAAGGAGGAGAAAAGCCCCTCTAAAGAAGTGAATTTGTAGTCCTGGGGAACAAGGTTTAGTCGGTAATCCGTCTGAAAAACTGAGACCACATCGGTGAGAAGCATCCGTCGAAATGATTGACGCCCCAGAATTTCAAAGAGGATTTCTTTAATTCTAGCCATACGCAGACGGTTCACGAGACGTATATACCTTTCTCCGTCTTCGTTTGAAATCTTTAATAAAGAGAAACCCTACCTTTAAAATAGTTTTGTATACTTTTAAAATCTTTATAAGACAGAGGAATACATCTAAGTTTAAAACCGCTCTGCTCAAGTTGTATCGGAAAACGTGCGGCATTTTTAAGCCTTCGAGTTTAGGCCCATGAAATTCATGTATGTCTAAATTCAACCGTCTTACTTTGTGATTCAACGTGGATCTACCATCTTTAATCTCACTATTTCCCTTCCTGACCAAGTGACTACTTTCCTTTTTGATGACATAAAAGAACACAGATTTAGAAATCAGAAACGGGTACACATATCTATTAAAAACGATTTTTCAAAAAAAGTACTGAATTAGTGTTGATTTAAAGGTCTTGTACATCACGGCAATTACAATCCCTGAACGTACAAAATGAATGATAAAATATCAAAGTGGATTAACATGGCAAATCTGAAATTCTAACCAAAGGATCTTGGATTTGATGGTTAGATGCCGAAAATCGCAATGAATCGTTGGGTGCACAGCGTCATCGCGAAATTACCTAGAGTCTCATTTTCATTAGCCTCCTCTGTTCACATTCGACTATTATTTTATGAGAGGCAGTTCGAGTCTAACTTTGCAGACGGTCATCATTTGATAAAAGAATTCAAAGTTCGGAAATTGTGTGTACTTACGTCGTCAGTCTGGTTGAGAAGTTTCATATGCTTGAATAAATTTGGCCCTCATGCATTTTGTTCAATCTCTCAAGCACCAACACACTTTTGCATTTGCCTTTATTATTATTATTATTATATTGGTGCTCTGCTCCACAGAAAGAACAGACTCAGGTAACTTTACGTACGTCCAGTTTTCTCTTATCTAAGCCACAAATCAAAGATCAGGGTTGACAAATTTATTTTCGTTGCGCAGTGAGCGGAACTTATATTTTTGTCCTATTTAATGCAGAAAATAAGTTGTTCCCAAATCAAGAAACCGGCATTTTAAGACATTAATATATTAGCATTTGGGTATTTCTCAAAGTAACCGGGTACCGTAAATCCTGTGAGTGAAGTTAGTACAGCTCTTTGATGTTGACAAGCACCAATTTGGAATTTCAATGAAATGAGTCAACTTGGAAAGCAGTAAGTCACTCTTAACAGTCCTTTAGGTCTGAATAGAAGTGAATCAAAGCAGTCCTTCTTGACACAGTATGGCTGTCCTACAACAAATGACGAAGCCGGATTATTGATCAGAACGATTTATTAGTTGCGTTGTCAAAGGGACATTACCGGAGCATCAAAGACCCTTAGACTTCTCGGTGCCGATAGTGAAGAGATTTTGCTGCAAGTAGTAGACCATAAAGAAGCTATTATTTGCCAAGGTAAGTGTGCGGCACTTGATGAAAGATTAGATTTGCTTCACATTTTTAAATAAGAGTAGTGCATAACGTTATTTCTGGGGACGGGAGATGAAAACAAACGGCAGTAAAGTTGACTGTACCCAACAGAAGTTTGGCTGTTGCTAATAAGGCGGAATCAGGGGTGTTATGAAACAAAGAGATTTAAGGTTAACTCACCTCAACCACGTGTGGTAATGCCTCTAGTAGTTCGGCTAACTTTGAGAACCCGTACTCCGAGACTCGGCACTGTCGACTGAATGTGTGGTGATAGGCTGGAATAAATTTTGTGAAAGCAATCTGGAATCTCCGCATCGGCGATAGCACTTGGATAACCTCGATGGCAAAGATCTGCGTGAGCGCCTTTTGTTGGACAGTTTGGATGCGTCGAGGAATAACAATACTGAGACCTTCATCGTCATTATTCTTAACAGTTACTTTATTCTCTGGGACGTCGGTCAGTAAATCACGTAAGCTGCATACACCGTAATTAGAAGGCTTAAAGACCTAAACATAATTTGAAAGGAAAAACACAGAAGCGACTACAAAAAATGGCTATCAATTTTTATTTTTTCCTGTATCTTTTTTACATTTCCCTAGGTGAGTGCATATATGGCTCAATTGAGACAAGAATCGGCACCCCATACTCTTCTGGTACATTTCTTTACACTTCCCTTGGCTAATGGAAACAGTTATAGAGGTCTGGACTTCTGATGCTGTATGACCCAAACTACACGAAAATGAACAACTTTCTGAACTGAAAATTTCCTCAGTGATGCTGGGTCCAGATTTTAAACGACACCTTTTACCTTATAGAAATGACGTGTTTCATTTACATCTGAAGTTCCTGATCATTACTATAAAGTAGACATTTTTTTCGAACAATTGAGCAGTTTAAACTTACGAATGAAAACTTAATAGGATTTATTGAGTTCGCAGCAAAAAGATAATTTTAGTTAATAAAAAACTGTGATGTTATTGAAAATCTCTTTTGCTTTAATCAAGGGAAGGGTCAAAAACAATTTAGATTCGCGACATTTTACTTTGATGTAATAAAATCAACCGATGACAAATTCTGTTGCGGATTTGGTGAAATCTGGACTTTCAAATTTAAGGCATGCTGTAATCAAGCGTCCGACACTAGTCGAATGTTCTTTCTTGTGCAGAATTTTATGGCGAATGTCGAAAAAAGTGTTTTCGAGATTGTGCTTGAAAATGCTACATAACTCCATAGATTTAAGGTCTTGTCTCACCAACATACCTTATGAAAGGTTGTTTCATAAGCCTGGGGAAATTTGGAAATCGGAATACTTTTCTTCTGCTCGCTCTTGAGTAATTTCAAGAGGTCATATGTGAATCGTCGAACTTGTATCACATGAGTAAGCATGATGGTTCGAAGTGGAGCTTCACCCACAATATGCACAAGATCCTTGAAGGCATCCATGATATCCTCGAGTCGTGAAAAACCATAGTCAGAGACACGACAAGGTTTTCCGAAATGAGCCTGGTAGGCAAGGAAGAAGTCGTGCAGCAAGAGAATACTTCCCGGTTGATGTTTCACCAATTCGACGATTTCATGACGAAGCTGACGAAGGTTAACTTGAAATTGCATCAAGGGGGACTCGCCGGAAGGCACATCTCTCATAGCCTTGAGAGTCCCACGTTGAGTTTTGACTGCAGGATTATAAAATGGCTTCTTTTTGTGATGGGTGTCATCATTATCTTCAGGAAGCCCTGAATAACGACAAACCTTAAGACGTACACCAAATCGACTGTCTGATAAGTAGTCTCATGACTTGAATGGAAAAATCTTAGAATTTGGGCCTTGCATAAAATTTATATGTTTGCAAGCTCAACCATGCCATGTAATGAAGTCTGCAACCTAAACCGAACCATCCACATTACAAGTAGACACACATAAAATCACCAGATAATTGTTAAAACCTTCGCTAGAATGATTATACTCCAAATGAAATTCAACAATTCTTGTAATTCACAGCCAAAATTGTCTTTTTGACATATTCTGAAACAACGTAAGGTGGCTGTATCTCTATATTTTCAAGAAAAATCATTTAAAAAGTAGAGTATTTGGTTTTATTTTGACTTAAATTTTCTGGTATTCAGACAGTTTGGGTGACAAACATTTGAAAAAAAGTTGTTTTTATATTCTGTCAGTATTCTGAAATGTTCACTCCGTTTTTCGTCGAAGTGAATTTTGTTGGCGGAAAATTCACCAATCAACAGCCGACGAATAAAATTGGGAACGTAACTGGCATGAAGAATGCATTTCTGTTTTCTGTCATATGTTTTAAAGCTTGGAGCTGTTTTTTATTAGCAAAACATTTTGAACTAGTGTTAATGTTTCTTTAAAATATAAACTACTTCTTCTTTCCCTTTTGTGCCCCGGTTCACTACAAGAGGCACCATAATTTTTTTCACTGTTCTTTGCCGCTTTGAAACAAATCTTCCCGATACACCAGGAAACCAACATCAAAATACCACTTGTGGAGCTGTGCTTGGGTTTGGAAATAATTTTCGGTGAAAATTCTAGTGACGCTCTAATGATATTTCCCTACAATTTAATTGACGGTAGAGTTTCAAATCCAGAAATTAAAACGCAGGCCCTATTTTCGTTTAACACAGACAACTTTCTTATTATGTGTACAACATTAAGTCTCTGCAAAAAAATTATATCACAACAACATCCACACAAATCGCTACCTTGCTTATATGTCTGAGATAATGTAACAACCTTCACTCCCTTTACTGAGGTCCGAATATAAACTCCAGGCACACAGGTAATAAGATGCTCAAGGCTGACGAAATTTTCAACCTGGACGAGCTTCTCTAGCATTCTTCTCCCACCTGCTAATTTCTTTTCAAGGTCATCCTCAAAAAGTGGACTGACAGACTTGCCGATTGAGCAGTCTCTTTCAAAAGGACCAAATTTTTTTTCATAACAACGAATGAAACTGGCAAAGGAGAGTTGGTTTTTGTGCTCTTGCAGAAGTTGCACTAAATTTGGTCCGAGTTCAGCTAGACTGATCTTGACCAGAGGCATGAACTGCGGACATGGTAGTGCACTGCATTTGCAGGAACATGAAGAGCCTTCTTGTGCAAATTGCAGGTTTTCAAGTTTCTGCAAAATAAAAGTAAAAATAGTTTACTGACTTTTTTATAAACAAAGACCCAAGAGCCAATTAATTTAGGTTCTGCTAAATTTTCAAAAATGTCAAAGAATTTGTGTTTTTTTGCTATTAGACGCAGCATAATTATTTCTTCAAATCCGTTATCGGGTATGACAAACTAGCGTACGCGAGTATTGTAATCAACGAAGTTCGAAATATTATTTAAAGAGAACTATCTTAGGATTTCTGCGAACTATATTTCTGCAAGTGTTCCAGTTATGAATCTTATTAGAAAGACATAAGTAGAAGATTGGTGCTATATGCACCCTCAGTAAATAAATTAATCGTGAAAGATGGCAGGTCGTGTCTATTTACATAATGCACAGAAGCGTCTGCTTGTTCCTTAAGACATGGGAATGGTTCAGGAATTAGGTAACCCACTAAACTTCGTTGAAATAACCAGAAAATATAAAAACACAGCGGCTACTATTCTGCCTCTGCTAAGAAGAAATGCACGAGTTAGTGGCCCGAACATTACCAAAAGTTAAGCACATGAAAATTTACAAACGCCGTCTTTAGAGTCACGATGTTATTTCATGTGGATAAATCCTAAGGTAGGTCTGCACTATCAGCAAAAAGAAAATTGTAAAAAAATGTAAACATATTATATTAAAGTGTTATGTCAAAATATTGCATAGACCAGACATTCTTAAAGAACGCCAAATATATTAGTCCTTTTAAAAAGGAAAAAGGTGGTAGCTTTTAATATAATGAGTCGATATAGAAAAGTGGATAATGTTTACTGATCACCAAGGCTAAATCAAAATAAAAGAATTGAAGAGTGTGAAAGCAGTACATCTCACACCTTAGAATGTGTTTGTGATTGATTCGGTGAAAGGAATTCCTTCAAAATAGTTTCATTATTTTTCCTTTTGCTATAAGCAAAAAGAGGACCAATTAAGCACGTTTTAGAGAGAAAAATTTTTCCTGGTTTTTTTTCCAAAGTGACGGCTGCTTTCTTTAAGCAACATCAAGTATACAACCGATTTTTCACAAATTGAATATGATAAAACCATGACGCATTCAAATGTAGTCACATTTACCAGTTAGCTGAGCAGTTAATACCAAAGCCATCACCACTATAGAAATTCAGTTATTTGCTATGCAACAAAACCAATTGCAAATTAATGCTGAACAATTTATAATGGTGGCTAAAGTGAAAGCAATTAAGATTTTCTTCAATTCTAAAATAGGCTCAGGAGAACTCAAATATCTAGTCTAAATATTAGACAAATGGTAGTTTATTATACAGTTTGAGTTGTGACTGGTCTAGTCCAGTTTGCACAGGGTTTATTGCTCAAATTAAGGCAGGATGTATTTTAGTACATTTGATGTAGTTTGTAATTTCATGAATATAACTTAAGATTGCACTTTAATGCTCAGTTAAAAATCCAATGGCTCCTGGCCAATCAGTCTAAATTAAATAAACATAATATTTGAAGACCCCAACTAACTTATTCATGCAGAAATTAATTAAAACTGTCATAGATTTTTTTCTACAGAACATTAGAGTATATAAAATACAAAAATCAATTTTGAATTTCATTTGTGCAACACACATCTGAATAGCACTGTAGCATTCAAAATCCTGCGCACTTTAGTATATTTTTCATCGAACGCATTGGGTTTATCCTGCCCACGTGAAAATTTGTAACTAAGGCAATTTCGCTCTTATACTTCCGCTGATTGCGGATGCGTGGCCTTAATCGTGTAAAACAAAGAAAGTATGTGATATGATATGCATTTACAACATTGCACTTAAAATTGGCAATAGGTATAGCAGTCATATATTTTATATTTAACTCACAGTTATTTAATAGTTTCGATAACATCTGCTGATTATTCTTTAAAAAATTCCGTTTTTGATTGTCGCTGGACAAATGAATTAATAGTACCGCAACAATCATCCCATTTAACACTAAAACCCGCTACAAAACCTTTTGCTTTCTCACTTGCTGCCATCGAATAAACGTGTGTTTTTTTAGATACGTCAGCCAGCAATACATTTGTTCAATCTGCCTTGACATTGAAATATGTAAAACACTGGATTGCAGCCATGTTCTGAATTAGTTAGAAATTTAACTTCTTACAGTGTCTAAACAAGGTCTAAGCTGTCATTTTATTTGTTTGAAAGTACAACAACCACAAATGACGAGACGAGTGTTTTTTAAATCCTGAAATGAATGTATCTGGTTTAACGAATACAACAATCTTCC